TATATTATTCAAAAACAGTGACAACAAAATACAAGTTTCTCCCATTTAATTTGTGATACGAAGAGAATAAAAAAACCAAAATCAATATAGGGTGAATAGTTCTGTATTAAATTTCTGTTTACAAAATATTGCAATTTTATATATCTACCATAACATATTTTCTGAGGTTTATTCTCAGTTCAAATGATTAAAACTTTAGAACTGTGAAAGTTGCATTATGTTTTATTTGGTTAATGTTTAGTGTACAGTACATATAACAATATAGTACATCCATATATATATATATATTTTATTTAATATCGACATTAGTAGCATATACAATCGAACAAACAATAATGGCCACCGAACATAATAGTCACCTGTAAATAAATTCCTAGTAATTAACCAGTAAGTAAAAAACTGCCATCAAACAATTGTCAAGTTACATTGCTGTCAGTGACCATTGTACAGAGATTATACTGTGTTTTCAATTATAACTTTATTAGATTATACACTTTAACATAAATTACAAACGTAGCATGCATTTCTATTTAGAGTAACAATATTTGAGACTATTTTTTACGTCTAAGTTTTATACAAATGCTAATAAATAGTTGGGCTTACATATATATTTGAAAAATTTTTATATTATTATTATAATATTTGATATAGTAAATTTATTCAATGATGTATGGTTTATGAGTTACTGTAAAATTTGCTTTAAAAACTGTGAAAGATGCTGAGTTTTTATTTTTCTGTATGATTACTCTGACTGTATAAACAGTCTAAGACTATACAGTTTAGGGCTCTAATTTATTAAGATTACATAGCTGTTCATTGATATTAGAAGAGAGTATGAATATTCTGAAGCATCTGTAAAAGTGAGTTCTACTGTAAACGTTTTTCACATCATAAAATACAAATTTATATTTTCCTAGTAAATCCTGAATATTTTATTCTTTATGATAATTTGTCATAGACTATAGAGTGCACGAATGAATAATAACTTTGAAAANACTTACGTTTTGGCGATTTCAACAGCATAATTAACTCTGGCTAAATTCATTTGTATAAAACTGAATTTTGTAAAAAGTTCGTCTTTCGAAACGAAGAACTTTTCTTTTCCCCATTTGGATATGCTCAATTCAATCCTATGTCTTGATGCCTAATATTACATAAATTTAGAAATGCGTTTGAAAATTATTGATAGGTTTCACTCTTGATTTCTTTCTTGCAATGTTTTTAATCTTGTTTACGAGAATTTCTGTAACAAATACTACAAAAGCGATTAAATATCCTGCACCTAGTAAGTACAATGGACCCATAATATCACCCATTTCCGGTACTTCTTTTTTATTTGTATCAATTGGTTCGTGTTTGTAGAAAAGATCTTTTCTTGTTGCTTCATGAAGTAGATTTCTGCGAATTTTCTCGGGTAACCCACTTTGTTGAATAAGATTCACCCTGTTAAATATAATTATATGTTAATAATTTGTGTCTATAGTGTACTAGTAATTTTGATATATAATACATTATAAATATATGTGTTATTTAATTTATACAAATTTATTTTAACAAAGTAACTCTTGATAGTTGTAAATGCCTTCAGTTACATTATTTATGAATTAAAAGCTTTAAATAAAATATTCATCATTGATCGTAGACTAACTATATACTATATTATACTTGTGTCCACTTTTCGACATTCTTGTAGACTAAGACTTTCAATGTCGACACAAGTATAATATATGTAGTTATAGACAAGAAGTATGTATCAAAATAACTATGTACTCTATTATGAATTTATAATACATTGCCTTGCACAATTTAGTGTCAAATGTAGTTTATATAATACTGTTTCAGAAATTTCGAAGTACAAGATCCGAAACGACAAAGGTCTCTAAAAGTGGTCGACAAAGAGAAATTTTCGTAAGAAATTGTTAATTAAAAATCAAATAACAACACATAATACAACATATTTACTAAACACACTCAAAACAAGCAAAATGAAACTGAAAACATAGGTTTCTTATGCGAGAGCCGAAACAAGCATTCTATGATAGAAAACAAAGCTGCAGAAGGTAGAACTTAAAATTTCCTGTATTTTATTTAAATATCATTTAATAATTTTATATATTTACGTTTTAGCAATCTGTAACTGTCGAAAGATTGAAAATGCTTTGTTGATAGGTACTATTTAATTATGCTTACTATAAATGCAATTGCACAGTGTCTGTACACATTTGTTATTGTTATTTGTCTCTACACAGCAAACTGTAAAAATTATTTACATAGAATTTCCATTGTATTAGATTATTAATCTTATGACAATTTAAATTATCCGGGGAAATAAGTATGTTTCAGGAAACACTACTCCATTTTATATATAGGAATTAAGCATCTGCGGTTTTTGGATACCTGGAATGTTCCAAAAACAACCCCATGCATACAACCAGGTATTACTGTAGATTTGTGTTTTATCTATTTTATCTAAAAAAAATAGACGAGCTAGAAATACAAGGTGTATTTTTTGGGGGGAAGTAATTTGAAATCAGTGATACAAAAACACGTCGGTTTGTATAAATTTAAAACTATGCTACAGGGGCACGCAAAGCAGGCATATTTTAATGCATATTTTGGTCACATGACACAAAATAACTTAACAAAGTGTTAAGTTTGTTTCTTTCGATTTAAAGTTTTTAAGCATATTACTTAAAGCATGTACTTGCACTACAGAGTATTTTCAGATAAAGTCCAAAACTGTGTTCACTTGCTGTGTATGGCGGATGCAACTCCAAAGACATCCATCGTATACATTCCTTGGCTATGGAATAAAAACTAGAATTATGAGCTTTCGTTGAGTTTGTTTGTGGCCAATAATGAGTGGTTTCAATCGTGACCTTGTTTGTTCAAATGTGCAGTATCAACGCATTATTCATTCGTATTTAGTCTAGTTCTAGATCAGCAACAGACAGGTAAGTTCCAAATTAAAGATTTTTAATAAACATTTTCGATTGAACTAAAGAAAAGAGGAAACTCAACAAGTTAATGGCGTTTTGAGATGAAGTGAAACCTGTGAGGATTTTGTATGGGAAACTGCTCCTATTTAAGTCTTAGATATGCCGACAAATCTAACACGTAAATAGAGTGAACCTGATGGTTTGGTGAGATCTCGCAACTAGTTACATTATTCAGTGGTTTTACCTATTTTGCACAAGTCAGAGATTTAAAAAAAACATTTCTGTACTTACGTTTTGGCGATTTCAACAGCATAATTAACTCTGGCTAAATTCATTTGTATAAAACTGAATTTTGTAAAAAGTTCGTCTTTCGAAACGAAGAACTTTTCCTTTCCCCATTTGGATATGCTCAATTCAATCCTATGTCTTGATGCCAGGAGAGCGTAAGTTCCTTTAAGTACTTTTTCAACTTGTTTGTTGCAGGACTCGTTGTACTTGATAATATTTTTATAAAAGACTTCGGTAACATTATTTTTAATAATTGACTTCGGGATATACTTCTACAAATATATAAATAAAGTCTATTAATGTAACGTAACAGAAAATTAATAAATATTAATTAGAAAAGTATACATAGTGTTTCAATATTAATACATAGGAAGTGACTCATGACTGCTTAGATAAAAAGTGTATAAAAGTATTATATTACAATTATTTTCAAGATATAATTATTGCTATTACGGATTAACTGTATTTGGTAATCACAGCAGAAATATGTTTTGCAGGTAATATGGTCGGAATAAGATTCAGTTTGTGCCATGTGTATTGTATGAATTATTTTCCCATTTACACTGTACACAAGTATTTGATATCCGCTCAAAGTAGTATTTCCTTTCTTAGTCTTAATTTTTTTCAATATAGACTATGCCAAAATATCTGATATAATAAGAATTGACATGTTTAAAAATACCCCTGCCTATGACAACAATATTGTTATATACAGGGCCACGTAAAGTCTGTTTGACTCGCGAATAATATTATTTAAATGAATCGTCTTGTTTCAAATTCTGCGGTATTGTCACTTCATAATCTTAAGAAATAAGGTTTTACTTCGTGTATTTTAATAATATATTTCCAATCGACTTTAAAAATATTTAGTACGTTAAACATATAACTAAATATGTGTAATAGACAATACATACTTGGTAAGGACATCGATCAAAATAACGGCATTCATCGCTTAATTCGAAGAAAGTGATGTTGTATCGTCCGTCTATAACAGATTGAGTCAATTCTTCAATAGTTTCAGGAATGGTTTCGGTTCCTGGATTAACAATATAAGATGGCAGAATGCAATCACAACAAAATTAATGGGCCGAAAACATAACGTTCTATAGCGCAAGAGAAAAGACACTCCCGACATTAATTTTCATTGTCTGATTTTGTAGTAATTGAAGCAATATTTTATATCATTGCTCATATAAAATTTTTGCACTAATATGTAATATATTTTAATTATTTTATGAATTATTCAGTCTAGGAAAATACACATCGTGTAGAGTACAAGAATACCAACCTTGTCAAAGAAAGTTTCTCAATAATATCCAAAATAATGTAGATAACTTTGGCTTTTTCTCGTTGTCATACTCAGATTCTTTATTCATTGCAACATACAGAGTTGATAGAAGAATAACGAATGAAATAAAAATAAATATCCAAACCTGAAACGTAACAATTAATAATTATTTTTTAGTTTTCAAAATTATATAATTTTTATAATACAGTAAAATCTCTAATTATGAACACTGTAAACATCAATTAAATATTAAGAAGCGTTCTTCTGTACATAAAATAACCCCAAATTTAAAGGAATATCTGTAAAACAATAAGTTTATATTTTTGCCTAAGTGGACGTACTCGAGAAAGTTTAATTTGACAATATAACTTGACAAGAAATAATTTATTTGTAGGTGTTTAGTATACATAACAGTTAGGAAAGTATTAATTTTAGTTAATAGATACAAAAGATAAACAATTTTTTAATATTACCATTTTATTAAAAGGTTTAATTAAAGAAACTGCTTTTGGTAAAGGTCTTGCAGCACTTATTGTAAATGTAGTTGAAGTGTCAATTATAGAAGAAGAATAGGACATATAACTTTTTCTTATAGGACCACCGATGATGGCGATGTCTGACTATTGAATAAATTAAATTTATTAAAATATATTTTGTAGCAATATAATCGCTAAATATATTTCTTACCGTTCTTAACCAAACTGTCATTTGAAACCTAAAACAAAAGAAGTAAATTGTATTTAACATATCTAGTAAGATTTAGTAATACCGTAAAGAAAACATACGTAATACCAAGGACATGTTGTAATAGCTTGATGTATTTTGTAACAAATGTCTCTTTTCCATCCGATTTTTCAATCCAGTCGCGCTAAAAAAACAAATTATGATTACGTTATAATTTACAATATTTTTTTGTAAATTTATGTTTTAAATTTCTTACGAATGTTTAATATATCTGATTTGAAAAGAATTACAAAACAAATATATTTTGTAAAATAAATTATTTTTGAATTTGGAAAATAATTTCCTAAGAATTTTCGAAAGAATGTTGTTGTTGTTTTCTGTGTGTATAAGAAAGGTTACATTATTTGTAAAGTTAATTTTTAATTTATAAAGTTAATTAATACGTAATTGTGTGATTTATTAATTTGTTCAATATAATTCGTTATTGTTAAGAAGAGGATCATCTGCAAGTAATCGTATAAACACAAACAATGAAATAAACAATATTATTTCATTTCTACAAATATTATAAAAAATTTTATAATATAAATGTTTTAAAATGGGCTCTCTAGTATTATTATTTATTCAGTGTCTTGTACACAGACTGTCACACATTCAGTTTGTTTCAACGGAGTGACAGCACAGCACATAAATTATCTGATTTTTCGAGCAATTTTCAATTAACAATTTATGATAGAAATACACAGTACCTTTTCATTAACATGACTAAAGCTAAAAACTCGATTTATCTTTATTTATTATACAAAACAACTACTAAACATATTATAAAGCTTGGAACTTAGCAAATATACAGAATACAGACTAATTTAATTTGATTCAATGAAATTTAGGTAATGAATAACAGAAAGTTGTGAAACATTGACGGCATACAAAATTTCACAATACCGGTAAATATGTGCATTGTATTTGAATTTAATGTCACTTTTACTGTAATCTCAAACGGTATTAAAACTTCCAATTTTTTCAGGGCTATTAAAGTTATTAGAGACTATAGAATGCATAAACATCTTTTTCAACGTTAAGAGATAGAACAGCAGTATAAAAAAAAGAAGACAATTATGTCCGGTTAACAGATGTTGTGCAGTAGCTCGGAATAATCCGAATTCTAATTTGACCAAGCGACTCAGTAATTCTTTATCAGCGATTTGTCCCGAATACGTTAGACCTATCACTCAGTACTTATCTGCTCTCATTGCCAGTTGGACAACTCCAAGACTGACAAAGAAGCAATGGTTTTTTTAGTACCTGCAAGCCAAGGAAAAAGCCAAGCAATAGAATGAATGAAATAAAATGAGAAAATGAATTTAAATTCAAATTGTTTCGGGTGACAGCTGAGAATGTAACAATGCCGAAATTTGATGTGATATAGAAGTATCAAAGATTCAGATATTTAAGTCACTGAGTTTGTGTAATAGGTTTTATAAATGACAACTTAAATAAAATGTTTACGTAAAGTAACGAAAGATGTAACATTGAATTACGAACATAAGAAGAAATTTACTTTATTTTCTACTTTAAGTATTATAAGATTATACAGAAATAATTCTGAAATATTTAAAAATTAAAATGACAAAAATGTTTAGGATCACTCATACTTACTAATTCTACACCAAATATGATCCGTTGTGGTTTTAACATTTCGTATTCAGTTATTACTCTTCTATTGTAAACTTTACAAGAAGTGAGTTCATAATTGCTGCAACTAAAACAGTCAATAATTATAACAATGTAAGTATATAAGTAAAAATTACGTTAATTATAATAACTACTGTATTATTTGCATTAAAATACGCTAATAATATATTAATTTATATTAAAGCAAGTTTAGCAGATTCGTTATCAAATCTGAAAAATTTTAAAACTCCCGGATANTTATAAATGACAACTTAAATAAAATGTTTACGTAAAGTAACGAAAATTTACTTTATTTTCTACTTGAAGTATTATAAGATTATACAAAAATAATTCTGAAATATTTAAAAATTAAAATGACAAAAATGTTTAGGATCACTCATACTTACTAATTCTACACCAAATATGATCCGTTGTGGTTTTAACATTTCGTATTCAGTTATTACTCTTCTATTGTAAACTTTACAAGAAGTGAGTTCATAATTGCTGCAACTAAAACAGTCAATAATTATAACAATGTAAGTATATAAGTAAAAATTACGTTAATTATAATAACTACTGTATTATTTGCATTAAAATACGCTAATAATATATTAATTTATATTAAAGCAAGTTTAGCAGATTCGTTATCAAATCTGAAAAATTTTAAAACTCCCGGATAATTTGTTAGTAGGTTTGTCTTTGATATGTGAGGCCTCGCCTCATCACTCATCTCCCTCTATTGATGCGTTGTCAAACACATGACAAGGCCTGGAAAAAGGCGCTTTTAATACTCATAAGATAACAGTAAGTTTTCAAAACACACATAAGCATAATATTACAGGAATCGAATCAGAAATATAACAAGGAGACAATATTCAAAATGGCTTGGCTTATTGTGTAAAAGAAAACAATAGGAACTGCAAAACATGGTCATTATTTCTTGGAAATGAAATGCGTTCCCGATAAACTTTTAAAGGTACAATTCTTATGCATTTAGTTTCTGACACTTTTAAGAAAAGTCAGTCAGTTTGTAGAAAGCAAATTGATTTATGTATAAAGTAGAAACATTGTAAAACTGATGATAAAGTTCGTACATAAAATTAACTGTAACTATATTGTCTAAGAAGATCAATTTAGAAAACAAAAAAGTTTGTGGTTTACACGGTACCATACACAGAAATGTAGTTAATTTACAGATAGTGGAAAAAACAGGTGATAAAACATAAAAGATAGCCGAGTAAACACATCAAAATCTATAACTGCATGAGACTACAGTTGATGGGCCAGAAAGAAAGCCAAATGAAGAAAAGCATTTTTTCTATTTGGAAGTGAAGTGATAATATTTCATAAAGTACTAGATAATAGAAGCATTATCGTGTTTCAGTAATTATAGATAAATCACACACATCATCAAGTAGTTTTGAAATAAATACAAATATATTGTGGAGAGATTAAACTTATTAGAAATTTGTAAATATAAAATTTTATTTATTGAAACGATTCTATACTATGAAAAGAGTTGAGCCAGTTATTTTAAGTACAACTGTACGAGTGGACAGCAGTCTACGAAGAAGAAAAGGTATATTAAAATATATGAAACATAAAAATACTTACATAAATTGAGGAACACTAACATCATACCATGATACATTGAAAGAGGACTTACTAGTGGACAAGTGTAAAAAAGAGTAGTTGTATTCCAGTGGATGAAACCAATAAACACTAGTAGGCGGTCATGGGTTATACCTCATTGATAGACTAGTTGAACAAAGATTTTCAGATTTTCTTCAAACATTTTTCACATTAGGGCAAGTTTTCCATGGAAACTCCTCACGGAAATCTTTTCTTCTTGACAGATTACCCATGTGTTGTTTTGCTTGAGTTCAATTAATCTTACAATCTTATACAGGTTAGCCAGGATAACATTCTGGAGACCGAGAATCGAATACAGGAACCAAAACAGGATATTCTAATAGGTTTCTGATAAATCCAAACTCACTCTATTCACACAATAAGTCAGGGTATTTTCACAAATATATTTAAATCTCATAGTGCTTGGTTTAGCTTTATAATCGACAACAGCTTAATACATCTGCAATTTGTCAAAAAGGCTATCTTGAAGCAGGACTTTCTACAAGAAACAGTCCTTACTTAGGTGTTGTGTGTGTGAAAAACCTTATAAACACTATGTTGCTTGAAGGAAGTGAGGTGAGTTAGTACCCATGACCAGTGTTAAGTGGTAATTAGTTAGTAAACCTCAACTGATTGGTAAATTAAAATAATAACAGTTGAACAACACATGTTTAAAATATATAAAGTCGATTAATATTTAAACAAACTAAAATTCTGAAAATTATATAGAAGATATTAAGTATAAATATTTCAAACAGTTTATGGAAATTAATAATAATAACGTAAAAGCCATATGTAATATTTATTACTTACAATCTTAACAGCATTTATTTCTACTTCTACAAAAGAAGAGTTTTCGACAACTTCAGTAAATGCAAAATGACAATCCCCAGAATCATAAAACAAACTCACTTCATTTCGATAACGAATACGCTCTTTCACCACATGCACAATATGTTCTTTCTGAATGAATTCCATTGGAATTGTTTCTGAAAATGTTACACATATTTATTTTATAAGTATTTTCCATTAAGGGATTTACGATTTATCTTTCCCAAAAACATTTAATACTGAGTGTGATTTCATCTGTTATGATAGCTTATTAACAACACTTTTTATATCTTTAATTATTATAGAATGGAAAAAGGCTTGGTTCTAAGAAAGGAATGGTTTTTATAATAAATTGTGAATGCCATTAATTAATGAGTAAAATTGCCAGTAAGTTCCACTGTACTGGAGATATGCATATGACTCC